CAATACAAGAACCTTAACCTGGCTACTCTTCTCCCCTCCATCACCAACAAAGTTCCTCACCGCTGCTTAACACTGGTGGCCCACCTCCTGACTCTTCATAATGATCTACAGGACATTCCATTTGGTAATGTTGACCTCTCAAGGTCCACCAATGATCCTTATTTGAAAGGCGACGATGGCAAACAGTATGCTATTACAATTCCTTCTGATGTTATCGAGGCAGCGTATTTACCTATAGCTACTTGAGTTCAACAGGCTGAATTATATGCTTGTACTTTAGCCAAGGACAAAACTGCCAACATTACTTATACTGACAGTAGATACGCTTTTGAAGTAGCTCATGATTTTGGAATGTTGGGGAAGCAACATGGCTTCCTTATATCCAGTGGAAATAAAGTTTTAAATGGCTTCTATGTTCAGGAATTAATGTATGCAATAATTTTACCCCCTGCTTTAGCTAAGATTAAGATTTCAGGACATTCTAAACTTGAATCTCTGGAAGTTAAGAAAAATCACCTTACTACTCTTTCTGCAAGGAATGCTGTCCTTAAAAGGACCAACAGCAGCCAAATCGCTGTCATGGTCCAAAGGGAATTTCCAAATTATCCAAGTAGTAATTTAGAAAAAACTGTCTAGAGAGGCCCAGCAATTGGCCTCAGAAAGCAAGTAACAAGATTGGAAATTCAACAATTGTTGGTTTAATTAAAAAAGACAGTTCTAGTTTGGATCAAATAACAATCCAATCCTGTCAGAGACTAAAAGTCCTACTCCTCACCACTGTACATGCATTAAACCGTTGATCTGCTGACAAAATGATAGCCAACATGTATCAGTATAGTGGGGAAACACTAACAAGGCCACAAAAAGTGCCTACCTCACTCGTCCCACTTTTCCAAAGTACAACCCAGGGAAGTCTGTTTCAGCTGTTCCCAGACATTTTAAACTGACAAATAAACCATTTGAGTTCTGATAAATGGATTTCATACATTCCGACAGATATGAGTATGTTTTAGTCATGGACTGTATGTTTTCACACTTTTTGAAACCTCCTAAAGATCAGCTACACCCAGTTCTACTGGCCAGGTACTTGGACAAGTCTTTGCTGTTCAGCCAGTTTTACAGCACTTTCACTCACGCCGATTGTTGCCTTAATCCCCTAGCTTAGATGAACGTACCAACAGCATCATTAGGACTCAGTAGGTAGAGACAAAATTGGTAGAAATCTTCCAAATACCTTAGCCAAAAGTATTGTCTTTGGTCCTTCTAAGTCTCAGATCCACCCCTTTTGCAACTCATAGGCTCTCACACTTTGAGTGACAGGACACCCAATGCACTTGGCTCCTGCTTCTTTTTGACCCACAACTGCTAAAGGGAGAGATACTCCAATATTTCAAAGGCCTAATTTCTTCTATTAAAAATAACTGTATTTTGGTAGACCTATCTTTTCACATTGCACCCTCAGGAGACAAAGACCTTAAGCATTATACCTTGCAACCTAGGGATCTTGTCTATTAGAAAAGATACTGCCAGAAGTACTCTCTTCAACCTTGAGAGAAAGACCCTATCACATTACTGCTAAGCAACCCTTGTGCCGACAAATCCCAAGAATAGACTCTTGGATTTCTATGATACACCTAAAGAAAGCACAAACACTGACCACAAACACTGTGGCCTGAACGTAAGAATTTCCCAGTACTGAAGCAGATGTCTGATGAGATAGTTTTGCTAAGATACACAGACCAGGCCTATTGGAAGTTTGTTTCTGAACCTTTGATAATATAGCACATCAGATGATCTCCAATGTCTATGATCTTGACAACATTTAGACTCTAGATTAAAATGCCTTAGAGCTTTCCCTCTTAACCCTTCTCCTTGTTATTCGAATGTGACCTTAATAAGTTTCCAAGCTGAGCACTTTCCTTCTGACATGATACACTGCACTCAGAAAAAGGCCTTCCTGACACTGAGGGAAAAAAGCCATTAAAATTAGAAAACCTGACTCCTGAACAGCAGTGTTTTTAAAGAAACATCATGATCAAATGGGAGGAATGTTAAAAAAAATTAATAAACAGAAACCTTAATTCAGTAGAGTTTGAATACAGCTCCAGAAGGGGGAACTCTCACACCCTGCAACAGTAGCAGAGCCCAACAGGACAAAGAAAAACTCTTCTTCCTGGCAAGGACTTAGCACATGAAAAGCCATGGACTCTTTATTATAGCCATTCCAACTCCTTTTTCTCCTCTATAAAAGTGCTCTCCTTCCCTTGCTATGTGGGGACTTGCATTTGGCTTGTCATGGTTGCAGACCTTGAATTGCAATTCTCTGGTGACTGTAAATAAACCCATCTTGCTGGCAGTCTGTTTGTTTCAGGTCAACATACTGAACACATCTTCAAATATTTGCAGATTGATATTAAGGCCAAATACAACATTAAACTATTTGGACAATTTTCTGAATTCAGCCAAGCCAAATTAAGTAAGGATATATTTTAGTGAATTCAGTCTTTGTACAGTTCAGACACTTTCTTAATAAATACCAACTCAAGTTTTCACTAAAGTAAACTTAAACTAATTTTAAAACTAATTATTTGTGAATCTCATATTTTATATATTTATATAATTTACATCAGTCATCATTGAGATTAGTTTAATGTGTCCATATTTCTAACCAAAAATTCAATTGTAAGTAATACCAAAATTGAGAAAAAAAGTTTTGTGTATCAAATGAGTACTAACAGCTTCTTACATGTTTTCGATAAGTTTGGATATCTGATTCACAATGCATGTGTCAACATTAGTTGTTCCTGGGCAGGCACGCAACTGAATCATTCAAGATGACTTGCAAATGTCCCCATTGAGCTTTGCATATACTTTATGATTTGCCTAGGAATAGTGGATGGCATTTCTGTTTGTTTTACTGATTGCATACACTGTAATGTCATAAAAATAAAAGAGAACATTATTTACTTCACTAATATTATTTCATAGACTATTTGCAAAATCTCAAAATTAAAGCAATAATATCCACAGTAAGCATGGCATTTTTTGTAGTTTTTATACTGAGAAATTTGAATCATACATTTTTTTAAATGTTGAATTGTTCCAGAGCTTAAGACTTAGTTATTCAAGTACTTAATATGCTAAATAATTCTTAATGGAAGTAATATCACTGGCCACAAATATTTTAAATGGATGCTCAACAGTGATGTTACCTTTTTTTTTTTTTAAATAATGGCTCTGTATTAAAACAGTTCTTACCTTAATCATTCCAGATCTGATATAAAAATTAATTTTATGACAATCATAGCTTCTTGAAGAAAAATATATAACCATTCTGAACTTAGATATATTCACATATTGTATTTTTTTGGTAATGTACAAAGTCATATAAACATTGTTGTGATTTTTAAAAAATGCTGAAGGACATAAAAGCATGCCAAATATGTAAAGATACTCCATTTTGCCTGAATAGAAGTCTCAGTATTTTATGAACACAGAATTTCTCTATAAGTTGAAGCATAATTTCAGTGTGGTCCCAATAAAACTTTCAATAGATTTTTAAATAGAAAAAAATTAATTTTATATGCTCTGGTAGTTAAAAATGAAGATTTAAAAAAAATTTGAAATAGTGTTTACATGATTTTCCATAGCACATAAGTTAACATACTTACCCACTTTATCACAATATGGTATATAAAACAAGGGGATAAATGGGACATTATAACATTATGAACTTAGCATGTAAAATACTCAAAATCATTTAGAAGAATATGCTTATTGTTTATCTTTAAGACTGCAAGTGTATCTATACACACAAACAAAACACATACAAATATGGGCAGAACTACCTGCAAAGTTACTTAGGCCTTTGGAACACACAGTTGTTCAATTTGATGTTTTAGCCATTTGCTAGGGACCAAAAATATCCATAATATATAGTTGCTTGTGGTTTGGTTGAGAGAGACATTTCAAAAGCATGTAGGGATATACAAAACCAGTAACTTAGCTATCAAATGAACCTTCTGACAGCTCAGGCCGGCATCTCAGCAAGGCTTTGCTTACTTTATTTTGGTTTACTCGAAGTAATTCAGAAAGGGAAAAAGTCATATTTAGTAAATATGTTAGCGTCACTATGCTACTAATGTAATATAACCCATTATATGTGGGTAAACTTTATATACATTAACTATGATGTTATTGTGTATAGAGAAAGCCATTACAAGTCTAAAAGAACAACTTCTTTTTAAATAGAAGTGTGTTCCGGAGGACATTTGTAAATTGGGAGATTTTCTAAAATTTGAGGACATACCTTTTCTAAGTGCCAAGAGCTTACTTTATGAGTACTATATACAAGGATGACAATACTGCCACTAAATATTCTGATTTTTATGACATCCATTTAAAATATGTTCAGCTATCTAGAGCATGACTTACAGTTAATCACATATAAGTTAAAATTTTCAACGTAATTTTTCATGCAGTGTTACTATTTCTGAGTGAATATTTCCTCCATGGCTGATAACTGAGTATTCTAATTATAAAAAACATCATAAATTGCTAAAGAACCCACAATAAATAATTTTAAAGGGTCAAAGAATCATACAGACAATGGCTTATTTTTACACTGAAATAGCAAAGTGTATATTTCAAAGCAAAGCTTTTTATACAGGTGAGAAAATAATTTATCAAAGATCGAGTTTGCTCTGTTTTTGGCAAGATAAAGCAAAGCAATGCAAAAAGACATCTCATGAAGGAAAAAAAAAACCTGTTAGGCTTGTGTATTCTGCAGTGTGTTTGCAAGTAGCATGTTTTGCTGTGCCAGGGAAGGAGACAGTTCATCTCTCTCATCATATGCATGCACAGTAAATTTCTGCTATTGAATAGGTATTCAGAACCACGCAGTTCTAGGATTCAAATAATCTGAGTTAACTAAATTTTTAAGATATTCTGAAATTTGGGGATTGCTAATATGTAAGATTGTATAACAAATGTAAACTCACCCTTCTAATCTTACATCCGGCAGACTTCTGTTAAGGGCAATCAAATCACTGGCCATAAGGTTAAACTGATTGATTTTAAACAGTTCTTTCATTTTCTCCTGGTCATCTTTAGGAATCAGCACAGCCTTTCCCATTTCTCCTGGCCCTTCTTGGTTTCTTGAAATAACAGCTGTAAGACACACACAGGTACACACATACATACAAACATACAGATAATGAACTGAATAAATAAACTTGTGTGTTGGATTAGATTCTAAAGTGTATTATTTATATATTGGCTTAATAATACAGTCATCAAGTCCTTATTGCTTATTTACAAACCACACACTACAGTAAAATAAAAACAACTACTTTAATTCATTAAGTCAATGCTGCATATAGTCTTTCAAGTCTAGACAGATTATGTGATCTGACTATTCATTAAGACTTAATAAGTAAGCAACACAAAACACCAAAACTTAAAACTTCTCTTTCATATTTTTAATATACTTATTAGAGAGAGATGAAGTTGAGTTCTGGGCCGACCAAGCTGTGCAAAATAGAAGAGAAATTTTGAAAATATACCAAGATTAATTTATTTTCACATCCACTTAAATGTTTTGATATTTCACATATCTATTGCCATTATATATTTATAAAAGCACGTAAAGTTGGTAATGCTTTATCCCATAGCAATTTGGTTCCTTTGTCTAATCATTTTTAAATAAGTAAAAATAACTTTCATAAAGGTGACATAATTTTAAATATCAAGTTAGATTTGGAGTCTGTGTACTCTATAACTGGAATTTCACAGCAATATTCTGGGCTTTACTGTCTTTATTAACTGGACTCAGGATTTGATATACAGGCTAGTGCTCTTGCCATTTCCTCCAAGTTCTCACCACACTAATGCCCCTTTTAGCTATAAAATACATGGTTCAATGTGTGTGTGCGTGTGTGTATATCTGTGTGTAGGCACAAGTATGCATATGTCTGTATGCATGTTAACATTTAATAATAAGACAAGATTCTGGTCAATTCTAATGTACACTAACTTACTCTTCATAATGACATTAAATTAGGTTATAGTAAAAGAAATGTTGTTCTGGTTTTGACTCTTCCAATGTTTTGCTTTATTATAGCTCCTAATACATTAATCTTACTGAGTTTAATTTCCACATACTTTAAAGGGCAAATATTAGGACCCAGATTACTTTAAAATATATTTTAAAAATTAAGGGATATTAAAAAACTAAAAACAGAATTACCATATGATCAGGCAATGGGTATAAATCCAGAAAAAATAAAAACACTAATTCAAAATGATACATGTACCCCAATGTTCAAAGCAGCACTATTTACAATAGCCAAGACATGGAAGTAACAAAGGACCATCAACAGATGATTGGATTAAGAAGATATGAGAGAGAGAGAGATACACATACACATATACATATATATATGGATATTAACCAGCCATATGAAAGAATGAAATATTGCCATTTGCATCAATGTGGATGCTTAGTGAAATAAGTTAGACAGAGAAAGACGAATACTATACCACTCGCATGTAGGATCTAAAAAATAATACAATATACAAAATATGTATACAAAACAGAAACAGATTCACAGACATAGAAAACAAACTTCCAGTTAACAAAAGGGAGGGGGTGAAGGGGCAAATTAGGGGTAAGAGAATAATGGATACAAACTACTATGTATAAAATAGATAAGCAACAAAGATTTACTGTATAGAAGAGGGGATTATAACCAATATCTTATAATAACCTACAATGAAATATAATCTGCAGTAAAGAAAGACGGAATCACTATACCGTACACGTGAAACTAACACAATATTGTAAATTAGCTATACTTCCATAAAATATTAAAGGATAAAAAGCATGTGAAAATAATTTGTAAATTATAATGCTTCATAAAATACAAGTTCTAAAGTAATAAAACTACGATAGCACACAGTATGGAGACTCTCCTCTGACTTGGTTATGAAACATCAAGGCTGGCATTATTAGTACTAATATACAATTGGTCTTCCAGTAGATTATGCTCTAGAAGGGTTATCCTGACTTCGGAACGGTATGGGTCAAACTACAAAAGAGATTAGGCATTTCTAGGGAACTTCAGATGTGGGTATCAAAAAAGTGATCGGCCTGGAAATCCTCTCAAAGAGAAAAATGATAATAACTGGGAGAACTTTAAATGGAAAAGATACATGTATGCAACCTCAAACTATTTAAACAATTGTCACCTTAAAGCTTATAAAGACTCTCATTCACTTTAAGAAGCAAAAAATAGAAACGATGGCAGGAATTTTATGAGAAAGCATATTTTGCTCAATTTAAGAAATAAAATTCTAACAATAATATGTTCCCCGGGAGGTAGTAAGATTACTGTCCCTAGAATCAGATGGAGTTGTTGGAATTGACTTTTGGTGAATTTATGCTGTTGGTGAGATGCTGGACTTAGGTGTCAAAATACTTTTCATTTCTAGAATTTCTTTTTTAAGTTTTGAGTCCACAGAAACTGTTAAAAAAGAATTTTTATGGTTCCTTTAGGGGTTCTTCAAATCCTGAAGTCAAGAACATAATCAGGCTAGATGAGACCACCTACTGACTGTGGATATTTTATGTATATGCGTATATCTATGTATCATCTTGACAGAGGTAACTGATCTAGATTGATAAAGTAGGTAGATAGGTAGATAGTTTTTTTTACATACTCTGGTCTATAATCTTCATGCCAGAAAAAATAGGATTAATTTTTTTTCTGGGGAAAAGAATTTTTGATTCAAAGCCACATTAAGGAAAATTTAAAGAATTTGAGGTTGAAATTAAAAGTTTTAGAAATTAAAACAGTTCACACCATTCACAGTTCTTTAAAATATCCTCTGTGAAATTCCAACAAAAATACGTTACATTGCAGAGAAAGGCACTAGAGTCAACACCGTGCCCCTAAGACTAGGAAGTAGAATTAATGTTTACTTTATGTGGAAAAGACATGGGGCTCAAGTACATCATTTTAGGGCATAAAGATCAGTTAAAGTTGCACAGAAGAATTTGTATTATATATTTTTTTCAGAGCTGTAACCATTTCCTTTGCTTAGCACTATGGAGATTATAGTTTTGTCAGTGGTAGAGTAAGTGTATCATCTTATAGTGTTACTATCAATAAACTTAAAATTGTCATAAATAGTATCCTTATACCTAGAAACAGTTTGCAAGCGCATATAATTATTCTTCTTAATTATTTGCAGCTTCTTAGAGAAGAATAGATAACAACTTAATGTATACCAGGTTAAGTGTCTCTTCCCCAAAGTTTAATATATTTTTTATAATGGTCTCTAATGAATGCATAGTTGGCTTCTTACAAAATGTTTTTTTCTTATGCATAAACAGACCTATTGGTGTTTTTCACCTTGCTTGAGGAAAAAAAAAATGCTAAGTAATCATGTGAACCAGCCCTTTTCTTTTTCTGGCTCTTACCTGACAGAATGCTAGAATTGCTAGAAGTAGGTTTTTTTTTTCCTTCAAATAGTATAAATAGGAAATAGAAAAGATATGCAATTTAGTATGTGGCTTCATCTATGATCTCCAGTACCTGTAAATAGCAACTACTATTCTTTTTCTGTTGACTTCTCTCCATTAAAGAAAAAAAGACAAAAAGACCACCCACATACCTACAAAATACCATGCTCCTCCACAGCCAATGTAAAAAACAAAAAGAACTGTCATTGATGTTTTGGTGCTGCTTTTCTACTCTTAAGGCAAATGAAATAGAGAAGGTAACTAAATCTGTATTATATCTTGATTATTGATTTAAATATGGATAGAAATATCCCAATTCCAAATCTGGTTTGGACTGCAGAAGTAGATTAATGTACTATGCTGGAAGTTATTTTCTTCCTAATTATATGGTGAGCTAATTAAAAATGATGAATAATTTACTCAAAATGACATTGTAAAACTTGTAGAAATATAAAAGCAGAATTATTTACATAAAGTATATATGTCATTTTCATTAACATAGTGCATACTACATAGATTAAAGATTTATTTTTATTATGGAATTCCCACTGATAAAGATAATGACCACCAAAATATAAATAAACCAACTAATCAGTCCATCAAAAGAAATACTACATATTAATTCCATTATTGTTTTATGTACATTGCATTATGAATACTTTTTCAATTGCAGAAATGTCCTGTTAACAATGAGCACTGTCTGTTTGAAAAAAAGAAATGAGACATCTTATACCTAGAAAAAACTTGAGTTAAAAAAGTTGTAGGTCAATTCTAAATAATGATTTATTTTGTTAAAGAACATACTAATATATGATGCACACTGGTGAAAGCATGACATCGGACCAAAATCTAAATGTTTTCTCATCTGTCATGCTTTCCAAAAAATTACTTCAAATTGTATTTCCATCTTCAGGTCTACCCAATTGTTGATTTCTGTATATTTGCCTTTAAAATCTATCTTTTCAATGACACTGCAGCTCCTTCCTCTCTCACTTTTATCACTTCCAGTTCATCAACTGTAATAAACTTAAAACCTTGACTTTTAACCTCTCTCATCTTTGAATATTCATACTCCATTGCTAACAGATCAATTTCCCTGAGACAATACTTTGTCTTGTCAACCACACGTGTGTTTGTAGTGGAGTCAGAAGATAAGGACATCATACCAGTACTGGGGGGACCCTTCCACCATCCAAACCATTTTGGCTTCCAGCTCAGTGTTCACTGGGCCATGCTCTTTTGCCAGTTTACAGACTGTGAGTTTATCAAGGGTAATTATTGTTAAAATAAAGAAACTTAGTATATCTTTGCCTTGCCCCATTTCCAGTAGAAACAATAATAGACCTCAAATATCAATATTATGATATCAATATTATAATGCATAACTTAATATATATCCAACAACAAAATTCAATCTACTTAATGTGTGAATAAATGACAATTCATTTGCCATCCCTTAGAAAAAAACTCTGCATTTTTATAAACCTGATATATCTGACAATAATTTTTTTTTCATTTTTAACATGGCCATTTGTGGTGTTCTGGTTTTTGCCCATTACATTTCAGTAAAATGTAGATGCTGCATAGATTTTTATGCAGCATGAATGTTGCAGATAGCAAGTTCCAATGGGATCAAGCTCAGCAG